TTATCCCTTTGCTCTGCCCCAATCTGTTTAACATGCAAGAGGCTGTGAATCATATCCTTGGGGACAACAACTCCACTTCCAATGTTCACAAGATGCAGACAATCCAAATTGTCACCCAATTGTGTCAATGTTTGTTAGTGATTTTCAGAGGACTTCTGTGTAAGTCAATTCCCCATGTCGAACGTTCTACTACGTTCTAAAATGGGACGGAGTAATAACGTATTAAAATGAGATTGCCATACTAAGAAGCGGAATTGCCATACTCACGAACAGAATCGTTGGCGGACGTAGTGCAGTCCGCATCAATTGCAATATGTTTGTACACAGTTTCCACCTGGTCCATCCGTTTGCAGAACTCTACTGAACTCTAGTTGTTAGTCGCTATTCCAAGCAAATATGTTCAAAACAAAAGAATCGTTCTGAAGAAATTTGTAGTACATGGTTCTAACAGTTTGCAATGGGTTCACATCACGTTCTACTTCGTTGTTAGTATGTTTATGTAGTTCTCATGCCGCCGCTCTTACTATGTCAACTCTGTGTGCATTACTTAAAATGACAAGGTAGGGTATATATACACGCGCTTTTAACATGGTCGATCCCTTTGGGATAGAGTTTCTATGAACAAGTTTGCAGCTGTCAAAATATTTAATGCTGGTTTCCTGCAATTTTGATCGGAAGCAGAGCAAGAGTACAATGAGTTGGTAGAGCAAGAAAGAAGGAAAACACAAGAACGTGTTGGGTGAGGAACTGGCTTAAACCTGAGAGGTGAATAGCTGTGGGACATTATCATCACCTGATGGAGGAGCTCCGCCTTTGATGATCATGAGTCCTTCTACAATTTCTTGAGAATCACCCCTCCATGTTTGATGAACTTCTTGAACGCATTGACCCCTTTATAACTTAGATGTTCACCCTTCTTCTTCCTTGGAGGCATGGTGATGTCAATGTTTCCACCTTGAAACTAAGAATGGGCAGGGTATTTATATAAATCGAACCATGAAGTTATTGCTATTTACGATTGCAGCACTAGAAAGCGGTGGAGAAAGTAGTGAGAACGGAAAGAAGTGCCTGAAAATGAGTTGGTTTTAGAAGAATGAGTTAGAACGGGGTTGCGTGATAAGAAGAGCGAGATAGGTTTAGTTCAGAAGGAAATAGAAGTGACTATGGGCCGGATTGGACTGCTTGAAAACGTTGTCCACACGGGCTGAACGGACAATTTTACCCACTCTAAACGCATAACACCAACTGTCCGTCTGGGGGGTAAAAAGGCGTGACAGACGATACTGAGAACTGTTTATGATCAAACTAGCATTGTAATTTATACAAAAGTTACACGCTCTCTATCCCGCTCGAGCTCACTTTACAGTTATTCTTTGGACAGGGCAGGACGTCCTAAGAACTACATTGGTGTGACTCAGGCTTTACCAACAGGTAACACCATCGTCAGTCCATACATGCTACAAGACTAGACTTGTTGACAGGACTGCTGATGGGTTTGTCCCATTGTCTTGGCAGTGGTTTGTTTTGACTTCTAGCGCCGTTGGCGATCCTCTTTGATTTGCTCCCCTGCTTTAGTCTCAAACAACATCAACTCTAATGCAGTCTGTCTCGATTCAGAATTGAAGTGAAGTTGTCCCAATGCATATCAGCCAAGTGTCCAAATGTGGAAGCAGCTTCCTTTCTGAGCATTTGCAATTTTGCCATTCCATCAACTATATGAACTGGCAACATTCTCTCTTCTGCTAGTATAAGCAGCGAAGGACCAAAAAGCTTCCTTTTAAAGTTCATTTTAACAAACCTGGCTTTTGATGTTCTTTCTTAATGTTCCATCTGAATGAGCCATTGTGAAATGAACACTAGAAATGTCCATGTTCACATCAAGGTTGATGACAAGTCCATTCAATCTTCCAAATGAATGATGTCTGCATCTTGTGAACATTGCATGTACCCAAATAATCCAGTGATGTCTGTAGATGACACAAGATATTGAATGAAAACCTCCAACCAACATCCAACAGTCTAAAACATCACATTGAACGAGTAACCTACAAAGTCCATGTTTGGAAACAGTCTCTGCAACCAATCATGAACATTCCTTCACCAGTTGACCATGGTTGGAGCCTTTGTGATGGTCAGCTTATCCCTATTCTGATGTCGAGAGAGATCCTGCTCCCCATGGATTAGTTGAACTGACATCGTGTAAAAGCAAAAGTCATCATGCCAGCAGAAAGAATGATATAGTGTGCACATAGGCATGTCCTTTTGTATGGCAGATGATTGTTGCCTGAACACCTTTGACTTGTTGCCAGTAGATGACTCCGATTCTGACATGAGTGAGTGAGTGAGTTTAGTTGTGCGATTCGGGAATATTCCATCTATATGGCGACAGTCTGTAAATAATCGGGTCTGGACCAGACAATCCAGGGATCAACAGCATGAACATCAATCTGCGCGAATTGGGATACGATGACATGTGTCAACCCAGTCAGCGAGGCTGACAACTAGATCCCGTTAATTAGCCTCTTACGACAAGCATGGGTTATTGAAGGTCAATTCTAACCCGGATCTTCACAGGTCCGATTCTGACATGAAGTAACAAATGAAATGAAAGAAAGTGAAAAGGAGGGTTAATTGCAAGCTTATGGATGTATCAAAAGTGATTAAGAGTTATCTGATAGAACAATTTGAATACCTACAACCAAAGCTTAGGCGTAGTTATTGGCCATGAAGCATAATTTTCAAACACTTTTGGATAATGTTATTTCATCAAATATTTTAGGAATGTGAAGCTTTGACTGACCCTATCATTGAAATTTAGCTCTATTCCTATACTGTATTAAACATTAGACACCAAATGATATGTTTGGATTTCATATCAGTACAAATTTAGTCTTCCAATAAGTATATGTAGTTAAACTACAATGGCGCCATTTTGGCAGCCATTTTGAGTCTGGGTAATATATAAAAATCCTAATAATATGCCGTCACACTAGAAGTAAAGAGAAAACAAAAACAACTTGTTTTAGTAACAAAAAATAATGTCAACTGCCATTAAATAAATCACCCTCACACATTTCCATGAAAAGTCGGAGAATCGCTAAAATACACCTGACTCAAAGAATGAGCCGTAAAACATTAAATTACCACGATATGACCAACCAAATGACTTGTTTTGTGCCCAAGCCATCACTCTAGGAGAAACAAGTGTCAAAACACATCAAAAGTATCAACTTTGGATGTAAATGGAAACATTCAGTGTTCATTTTATGTAGATTGAAGTGCTGAGAAGGCAAAAACACCGACAAAACAAAATGGCGGACAAAATGGCGGCCATTTTGATCTTTTTTTTCAAAACAACATTATGTCAAATAATTTCTACATCCTTTAGCAGTACACAAAAGTCAAAATGAAAGTGATCAGATTGATAGTAGTAAAACTATTAATGATTAACTTTGAGGTGTTGTCGGGAGCAAACGAAATGTGACGAAATGGCTGCAGACCCCACCACATATAATGGCCTGTAAAAAAAACCTGATACCACAATCTGAGAGTATTACAGGCCTTTTCATGAGCCCAAAGACATCATACTAACTGAAAATAGTGTCAAACAAAATCAGTACTGGGGAGGCTCATGAAATCCTATTTCTAGGCCTCTTTTGAGATTCTCCTCCTGGACTATAATGCAAAAGCCCCAAATTAGGCAAGTCAAGATTTTATTCAGGTTCAGTTCACATAGACTCCTTTTCAAATTAAATGGGGTATTTGGTTCTAATAAAATTAAATATTTTCGGAGAGTAAACATTAGTCTACCAGCAGTCATTGCCTCTCAGTTCTAGACTGACTGACCGACTGATTTTGGTTTTATGCCGCTTTTGCAATATTCCAGCAATATCACGGCGGGGGACACCAGAAATGGGCTTCACACAATGTACCCATGTGGGGATTCGAACCCGGGTCTTCGGCGGGACGAGCCAACGCTTTAACCACTAGACTACCCCACCGCCCCCTCAGTTCTAGAGGAGCGGTGGGGTAGCCTAGTTCGACACATAAGTGACATGTGAATTATGTGCTATGCGATTTCCAAATTTAACTTGTACTACATGTTCCACTGCTTTTTTCAATTGGGGCGGTGGGGTAGCCTAGTGGTTAAAGCGTTCGCTCGTCACACCGAAGGCCCGGGTTCGATCCCCTACATGGGTACAATGTGAAGCCCATTTCTGGTGTCTCCTGCCGTGATTTTGCTAAAAGCAGCATAAATCCACACTCACTCACTCACTCACTCACTCACTCACTCACTCACTCACTCACTCACTCACTCACTCACTCTCTCTCTCTCTCTCTCTCTCTCTCACTCACTCACTCACTCACTCACTCACTCACTCTAAAAATTAAGATACTTCAATGCTACAGAGTTGTAGTATTATGTTCCTGAAGACCAAATTATGTTACTCACATCTTCAGTAAATCTATTTTCCATCACAGGATTTTTCAATGATAATAGCTCATCCAAACTTCTGCAAACATGAGAGGCAAATTCAACCCCCCAGATTAACATTGTGTGTATGTGTTTGAAAAGAGGTAGAGAAGTTAAACCATAAACAGAAATTTGGACTATTTAACCACAATTCATATTTCTTCCAATAGATATTATTACGTTTTTCCAGAGTTGTCTCAAATCCTTGACATTTTGGGATTATTCAGGAAAACAGTAGAAAATCTATTCTTAACATTCAGACAGTTGTTTTATTTGAAATAAATGGTGTTGACATGGTTAACGCAGTTTGTATAGACACAATAAGCTTCATGCCCTTTAAAGGTTGCATCTCTAATTTATGCATAACTAAATCACCATACATTTAGCAGCACTGTATTGTGCATTCCAATGAATAACATCAACATCTTTCAAAATGGAGTTTAAATTTGTTCTGTGAAGGTTCTGGGTAAAAAGTCTGAGTTGACAAAGGGCTATTTATACGGCCTAAACATTGTTCAGTGGGAAGAGTCCCCAGACAAGTGTTCTCACCTCCAAACAATACAGAAGAAACTGATGGGCAAATATTTACATGGTGCATCAAGTTGCGCACAATGTCCCACAGACGTATTACGCCATGCCAGATCCGCCTTGTCTTTTGGATCCACGAGGTAACTTCAGTTTAGTTTCCTGTTTGTCCATCAAATTAAACAGGTTTGCTTGCCTCTTGTGAAACAACCTGTTTGACTTAGGTGTTAAACCTTTGAATTTAACTGATAAACATCCTGTATTTGAAAAAAATGCACTATGTAATCTCGTGGATTTTTAGTTTCTTTTGAATACTGAAGGATTAGTTTCTGCTTCTACACCCTTATAAGTGTTGCTAAGGTAATGTTGAAATTCAGTCGTCGTGTCATTTTTTTGGAACATTTTGTTGGGTTTTTTTTCGTGTCGGCATCTGTTTAACATTTAGGGAGAGGAATTGTTGCACAGATGTTGTTTTTGTTTTTTAAACTTAATACAGGTCCTGACATCTTTTAGTTTGAAGGCAGCGGAATCTGGAACCTTTAAATCAGTATTTTGAACTAATGTTTACTTAGGGATTTTGAAATGGCCCCTTTTCATTCTTCATCTAAACACAGTTGCTTTTGTTGAAGTGAAGAGTAATCAGTCCTATGTTGTACATGTTTGTATTTATTCATGTTACTAAAGTATACAGCTAATCATAATTAATCAAGGATATTTAATAATTCTAGGACTTTGAAAAGAGAAAACATTAATTACATTCCAATCACTAAGTTTGAGTGTGTGTAAATATGGTAACATAATGTAAATTTTGGAGACAATACTTTAGTTTTAATTCCAGTTCTTGTCTCTTCTCAAGATTGACATGACTAGCAGTCTAGTGAAAGTGTCTCACCTTCCTGAAACAATTTAATTGTTTTTACAGATTTCAATGTCTTAATGTCATCCAAGTGGTGCAAAAGTAACAGAAACTTTATACTTTTATTTTTATTATTTTAATCAAATGAGAAATGTTTTAATAATATAATTGCAGATCTATACAGGCCCTGCATCATGTTGGTGGTGGTCCATGATAAGGTCAGATAATATAATGGCATTATCACAGACCAATAGCTCGAATGTCTGCCGTCTCAGTGGCACCGAGCCTTGACACCGTGTGAGTCAGACTGAGACTGAGACATATCATGATTCTCTGTTACATCACAGGCAAGTTGTTGACATTCTCCACGTGCATGGTGCAGCGTTAGTGACAGCCTTCGTGTCTTGCACAGCACGGCTCAACTTTTTATCAACCAGTTTGAGAAAAGAATGTTCAACTTTGATAGAGATGCTTATCGCTGTGATTCGTTTGGAAGGAGCCTTCTGCCGTGGAAATAGGGAGACAAGATTCTTATCACCTTGTAATGTGAATAAAATTTGAGATGTTTCAGTGTGTTCAAGCATTCTGTGTTTTGGGTGTGATGAAATCCATGCTTTTTAAATTAAATTTTACAAGATGTAGATGGATGCATTTGAATGTGCAGAGTATCATATGTTTTAGTTTATTTGCTTTATTGTGCTACCTTTTCCACACTTATGTTCATACTACATAGACTGTCTCTGTAGTGTAGTGGATAGAGTGTTTGACTGGATAGAGAAAAGGAGTGGGTTTGATCCCAAGCTTACATCACAAACAAATGAAGTTAAAATATGGTATTTGATGTTACCCTGCCTGTTGCTTGGTATTAACATAACCCTGATAAGACGAGGACTGGTTGGTGTCTGTGTTGGAGATTCATGGTAATCTGTATTACGTCAGTGGGTTAGCACTTTCAAGCCAGCACTAGTACTAATTAAGTGCTTGAAGTCAGAAGTTTCCATAACCTCACCTCACCACATCTCACCTTGATGCAACATGCAGGTTGTGACATGTCTTGGTTTTCAACTAAGGCCTGCTATAGAATTTGATAATGATTTTCAACAGGAAAGTTCAGTTGGCAAAATAAAGTTGAGATGAAATTGTAAAATCATAATTTTATATCTTAGTTTTTACAATATATTCATGATAACTTACAAGAAATTATTTTAGATTGTTTTTTTCCCATATCCACTTTATAAAATGCCCCAAGTAAAATACTTTTAGTATTTAAAAGGAATATTACTTTGTCTGGTGATTTTTTTTTCCCTCCTGTCTTAAGTTTTTTCAGGACAAATAACCGTAAAATAAGAAATAAAATTGGTCTGGCCTTAGCAGAAAAACAAATCACTCTTCCGCAAAATATAATTTCATTGCACATATTGCAAATACAGGCATGTAGAGAAACACTGAAGAATTATATTCTATGGGGTAGTTTTGGTTGTCAGCTTATCAATGCAAAACATGAATGCATATTTTGGCAGGCTATTTTATTCTATAAATATCATAGGTTACCAAACAGACTTCTGAAGACAAATCATTGATGTTCAATATATGTGTAATTTATGTTGTGATAATGGTCTTGCTTCTGGTTATAATGCAGCACATTTGATGTTCAGAATTCATACAAAATCATTATTATCAATGTGACACATGTTTCCAGTCTAAATATGTCAACACATTATCTCCCAGAACACAGCCAATAAGGTGACTGCTTCAACACAAGTAAAAATTGAAAACTAGGTTTTGATACAACCCCTGTCAATTCAGTCGGATTATATAGTACATCTACAGAATATCATCCTTGTTGGTTATTTATTCCTAATTCACTACATAAAGCATATAAATATGATAGCAGGCAGTCAAACATGAAATGATGTAAAAATGACCATATAGGTTTTGATACAACCCCTGTCAATTCAGTCCAGTTTTGTACTACATCTACAGGACATCATCAATGGAAGTTATCTGTTCATAACTATCAGCATAAAGCATAAAAGTGAAGGCATACAGGCAAACATGAAATGATGTAAAATGACCATGTATGTTTTGAGACAACCCCTGTCAATTCAGTCCGATTTTGTACTACATCTACAGAACATCATCAATGTAGGTTATTCATTGTTAACTCACTGCATAAAGCATATAAAAGTGATGGCAGGCAGTCAAACATAAAATGTGAAAATAACCAAGTAGGTTTTGAGACGGCCCTTATTTCTGTATGGGTCTCGCACACTGCTGGCTCGCTCTTGTCAAGGTGTGTTGAGTAGTTGAGTCCTCGTAGGCCAGACTGTATCTTGCCATCTACATTCACTACAACACTGACCCAGGAATACCGTGCATAAGTACATTCAGGAATATACGATTTGGATTTACTTCCATGTTTCTGCAGAAGGGTGGTAGACTTGGTGATGTTTGTCTGACAAGGTAGGTGAGGTCCCATGGCTGTCCACTGTTGTTTACATGTGTCTCGGTATACCTGTCTGTGTTGGAGACAGGAGGTACACCACGGCTTGGGGATAGTTGGAGCACAGGCTCATTACAATATCAGGTGTAACTGGGGGTTCTGTTTTAATGATTTACAAATATGGTGGTGAAGAAGTTAATCAAGTTACTTTAAATTGTGCTGACACATGTAATACTGAATCTGACCAGGAAGAAAGTTAGTAGCAGACTTTTTGTTTATATTCATCTTTATTAAATGTCTTTATGTTTATATGTTTCTTTCAGAGTTGACTTTGTTCTGTAATCAGCCTTGTCATACATTTTGTGAATGTAAATATTTTGTTCATTGAGTTAATAGGCAGTTTTTGTTGTCGCTGGTATTAATGCTAGACGTATGTGGGTCAATTTTCCCTTCCTTCTATCTCCCATTTTCAAATACCAGATAACAGATACTATAATATTACTGATTATTGATAAAGAATGTCAATGATTACTGATCGACAATGACAGATTCAATGTCTTGACTGAAAACTAACCCTATACATCCATTAATGACAGCAAATTACAGGTATTATATCATTCTAAAATACATCTTTAGATAGCTAGTTGGTTCATAAATACTTTTATCACTAGTTTATGTTATATATTTAACAATCCCAGCCATAATCTCCTACAAAATTCTGTTTGTTTCACAGTCAACAAAATATGAAATACTTTCATAAAATTTACACTAATTGTAGTGCCAATATACCTGTTTTGTGTGTTCGGTATTGGGAGACATGTAGATGCTAATCTGACAATATTCCTTACATATTCAACATCTGATTGAATGATAGTACACAACGCGCACCTGTGTTTGTTAAACTGCAGGAGAGGCTTTAATCATGGTGACATCTCAGTGAACAAAAATTCCCTCTGTGATCATAATAACATTACTTCACTGTAGCATGTGAGGCTTACTGTGGCCTGTCCCTCCTCCCTCTCAATTTGAAATACGGTGTGTTTTGATTTTTATTTACAAAGGGTAAATATATAAGTTATCCTCAACGTGCATAGTGGTAGACAAGTGGAGTATATACACCATGGTGATGATAAAGGTTCAGATGAAGGTTTGCTGGGTGTTTTCTCAATGATAATATGGGGCGGTGGGGTAGTCTAGTGGTTAAAGTGTTGGCTCGTCACGCCGAAGACCCGGGTTCGAATCCCCACATGGGTACAATGAGTGAAGCCCATTTCTGGTGTCCCCCGCCGTGATATTGTTGGAATATTGCTAAAAGCGGCGTTAAACCAAAATCAGTCAGTCAGTCAATGATAATTTAATTGGAAATTTAAATATATTGTATTTTCTGTATTAAGCCCTCAATATGTGCCTCTTGAACAACTTCTAGACCAGTCTGTAAGACCAGACATTTAATCACAGACAAGTTGAGTTTAAACACCATCCTGATGATTAAGATTTAACGATGACTTGAACACTATCAAACTGAGTTGATGTGGTTTTGCTGTTGCATTTCTCAATCATAATTAGATTGTTAAATGAAAGATACTGTATTGAGTAGTCTGATTCTGTAAGGGTCTCTTGATTTACTTCTAAGGGGCAGTGGGGTAGCCTTGTGGTTAAAGCATTGGCTCGTCATGCTGAAGACACGGGTTCGATTCCCCACATGGGTACAATGTGTGAGGCCCATTTCTGGTGTCCCCAGCCGTGATATTGTTGAAATATTGCTGAAAGATGCATAAAAACATACTCACTGATTTACTTTGAGACCAGTCTACAAGCAATCTTTTAACTAGTGTTGGGAATTGGTTAAAATCTCATAATTGATGATTGGTTCATTACAACCGATCAATCATCGAAAATAATTGGTTAGCGTCATTTATGAAATTTGTTAACGCACACAAAAATAAGGAAAAAAACATGTCATTCTTTTGGGGCTTTTTGGCAAAATTTCACATCTTTAAAGGATGACTAGTATGTTAGGAACATAAATTTCTTGGAGCCTTTAAGATAAATTCAATCGTGACTTGAAACGAGCTTGTAGTGCTTACGAAATGTAACAGACAAAACCAACCATGTGAAAAATATTGTTAATGAAAACAAGTGTTCCAAAAGTGGTTGTGTTCGATTATTAGAAATTATGACCGATTGCTTGGTCGTTTAGTCACTACGACCAATCTTCGATTATTTCAATTAATCGGACCACCACTACTTTTAACTGGCAGAAAACGTTTTGTATCTAAATATTGACAATAATTTGCAGATAAGAAATCTTGTTTTGGAGTATACGAAGTTGTACAGACTTTCTAGTGGTGACAGTGTAGACGAATTATTAGTGTTTAGTGTTGTGACTTTGTGTATGTTAGTTCATGGTATATGAACACGTCGATCATCATTGATCATGTCACGACAGGGGTTATAGGAACTTATACAATTGTGTGTTGTCCGTTATTAGTCGATCATTTGTCAACCTGTTTGTTGCCCATCCATAAATCAGACATCCTGAAACGGCTAGAGGGATCAACTTTGATCGTCCAGCCACATATTCTGACAGAGATACCTCAACATGAGGATGCCTTAAAATATCTACATAGCTGTTAACATTTTGTGTTTTGTGTTTTTAAGTTTGAAACTTCGATTTTAGAAAATGTATCTGATATAAAACATTACATTGGAGCATAGTCATTTCCTTTCTTTGATCAGCAAAAGGAAGGGAAACTTACCGGGAAAATTGGTTTCTATGATATTTATGTTTAAATGTCTTGGTGCATATCTTGATATTATGTGTCCTTTGAAATAAAGTTCATATTAGAGACCATTACCCCAAAAAGAATCACGTTACTTGATGGCTGGTGATGGGTTAAAGAATTGGTCTTCAACAACCCATTCTTGTCGTAACGGTCAGTGGTCAAGCTAACTGACTTGGTTGATGCATGTCTTCATATTCCTATTGTGTAAATCAGTCACTGGATTGCTTGGTCCAAACATGATTATTTACAAATTTTCATCAAATAGCTGAAATGTTCATGAGTGCGACATTAAACAACAAACCAATACAAAACTTGACAGATAAAACAATTCCCACATG